TGTCATTTAAATAAGCCAGACCAACGTTTTAATTTAGCACCCCCCCCCTTTTTTTTTTCTTGAATCTTACACACTGAGGGGAACAGATATCATATCATAATTTATTATCTTCGCCCAAGTTAATGCACTGGAATACCTAGTGAAATTTTCTCAGGCTACCCAGTTCAAAATTGAAACTTTCTAATTTTTTTTTTACCCTAAGTATTTAAGTTTTCTAGCATGAACTATCTGAAATCAAACTAAACAATTGCTTAAACCCAACTTTTAACTGCAAGATAGTGCAATGCTTTAGAAACCCATTCAGATACCAGATTGTTACAATAAAAAATCATCTTTTAGACACACATTTAGCCAAGATCATCCCCAAGAAACAATCTATAATAACCTTTAAAATAGAGAAACCAGATAAGAGAAAAATCTCTCCAGGTTTTTAACTTCCATTTAATTATGACTCCTATCAGTGGCACCATAGATTTCCCCATGAGTGGACCAGATGTTTTCACAGAGGGGCAACTATAGGTGTAAAATCAAGGGTCTCAGTGTGACTGACTTTACTACATTTAGTGTCCCTTTTTTTAAGTGGACAGAGATGGAGCAATCCTTACAGTGCAGGGAAGAATGAGGAAATTCCCCAAAGCAAAAATGGCTCTGGCAGCTGCTGGGAATCCTCAGTTTCCCTTTTACTTACAGGATTAGTTCCTCTGGCTTGGTCTGACCCCAGGCACTAGGCATTTCTCACATCTCTTAACTTTTCAGTAGTCAGCTTCCCAAAAAGCTCATCTTCTGCTTGCAGTTGTTTCGAGTTTGAGAAAAGTTTAAGCGAGATATCAAAGATTTTAGACCCCAGGCATTTCCCTCTGCAGTGGGCGTGCTCAAGCCAACTATGGGAAGAAAAGAAAACACTGCTTCCCTAATCTCGCTTAACAAAGGGGGGTAAAGTTTATCAAAATTCTTTAAAACATAGCTAAGAGAGGTGTAAAAGGTGAGAACAGAAAAGCTGGTGGTTCTATTGACTTTTGGTCCCTCACAGGAGAAGCATTAGGTTAAAATTTAGCTAAAGTTACTTCCACACATCTAAGGCCGTTTGGAATTTGGGACTCTGCATCGGTCCAAAGTAAAACAATGCCATCACACTTAACAGAGACACAGACAAAATGACACACAAAGATCATCATGCAGCTCCCGTTCGTTCACAACCCCAAGATCTACAATCTTGTGACTCAAGGAGAATGGAGGGAAAAGGGGGAGGAGCAGAAGGATTGAGTGATAGGATCTTGGGGGAAGGGGTCGGAGTGGAGGCAGGGACCAAGAAAGGCTTCAGGGACAGAGGCGTGGAATGGCTTTGTCCCATACTGGGAGTTACTCAGGCAGAGACAGGGACAATACAAACGTGACACAGAGACAAGGACAAACAGTAAACGGTTAACACAAGTTCAGAGGCAAAGATTAAAGACAGACTGTGAATCCAATCTGAGAGAAAGAATTGCCAGCGAAACCAAACAGGTTGGCAGCAGAGTACAAACGAGGGCACTCTTGTCCCTCTACCAACTGGGGGCACTTTTGCCCCCCCCCCGAATCCTCTAAGGCGTCCCTTAAGAGGGGTGGCCTGTGGATTAGGACACTTCTGTCACCACTGCCAGGGAGAATTTACACTCTCCACTGATGGCCACGCTGCCAACCCAACCAAACCAATCCAAGCCAAAGACCAAACCTGAACCAAAAAGCTCTGAGAACTTACACTCTCCACCGAGCCAAAAACCAAAAAGCTCTAAGCGATCGCAAAGGAAAAACAAGAAGGAGAACAAGGAGGAGAGAGAAGGAGGAAGAAGAAGAGGAAGAGGCACCTTACTTACCCCCTAAAGGAGTCCTTGGGAGGTCTCCTTGTCCGGCAATGCGCTTTTCCCGGCCAATGCACCAAATGTAAGGATCCCGCGAAATGTCGGAGAAAGAGACCACCAAGTGACCACTCATGCAATTGGCAGAAGGGGGGATTTATTGAACCAGCATGCTGGGGCTCCGTGCCCACTCAAGAAGGGAAAGCAGCCCAGAGCCTATTCCCATTATTAAAGGGACAAAGAGAACAGACATCAAATGCTGTTCCATTCCTATCCACTCTCCTTTTCCCATTTCTTGGTAGAAAGAAAAAAAGTGAGGATTCTTTAAAATCATTTTTCATTGAAGGATTATAGGATTTTCAAATGGTATAGAAACTATAATAGCATATCAAATACTACTAAGATACCAAACCATACCCAGCTAAAAAAGTTAAGTCTTGGTCAATTACCTTTGACTTTCCACTCTGTGACATGGGCACCTGGTCTTACCACTTATTTAAATGTGAGAAAGTTTTGCACCATTCACGTCATCATTCCCCAGGTCACCAGAGATGATGATGACAGATGCAGTACCCCATGTGCTTCCTGAACATTTTGAGAGTTCAGGAACAGCTATTTGTACACTTACCCACAACTTGTAATATCATTTCCTACAAAAATTCTAGTACAAAAAATTTTTCTTTGTAAGATGCAAGCATTGTGTTTTAGGGAATCAGTAGCACCCTTTAATTGGAAACTGGTGAACTGAGTGTGGTTGTGCACACCTAGAATCCCAGTAGCTCGGGAAGCTGAGATAGGAGGATCATAAGTTCAAAGACAGCTTCAGCAAAAAGTGAGGTGCTAAGTGAGGTGTGCGGTGAGACCCTGTCACTAAATAAAGTACAAACTAGGGCTAAGGATATGGCTCAGTTGTCAAGTGCCCTTGAGTTCAATCCCTTATACCCCCCCCACTAAATAAAAAGATTAATGTTTCCTTTCTGACATGTTACCCTAGGAAATGGGAATCTTCATTCCAGAGAATCTACTGTGTATAGTTTATTAACTGAGACATGTCAATTTGCTTGACAAAAGGATTCACCATCATAGTACCATAAGGAGTTTGAAGGAGACATCAGAAAACTCAAGGAGAGATGCTATGGGCATCCAGGGAGTCCAAAAGATGATTCCTGTGAGTCCCAGCAGTATCCATGGATCAAATACAACCAGTAAACACTCTCATGATTAAAATGATTATTATAGTGGAAAAAACCTATCTCTCTTGGTAAACATCACTGGACCACCCCAAGGGTCCTCCAGAACCCCCCACAAATCACTCAGATTACCCCAACCTCCAGCAGTGTAACTCAAAGCCACTCTAATTCACTGGTACTTATGCCAATGCAGTTGTACAATATTTTGAATATCACTCCTGGGGTATCATCAAAACTGCTTCTTAAATAAGAATCTTTCTACTCCCTAAAATTTTAGACACTTTTTCCTTGAGCTATTTGACAGTGTTTTCTACCTAAAAAATACTAGCAGCTGAAAGTAAGATCCAGCTCCATGAAATGCATCTCTTTCCTATAGTAGGTTTTCATCAAATTATTTATGTTAAATTTTAATTTAGAATTCATACACAGCCTGATTAAAGTTCTAAGCTGTGACACTAAAAGTTTTTAAACTATAGAGATACAGGATTTGCTCATGGATGGTGCAAAACTATATGTTATGACACAATTAATCACTCATTTCTTTGAAACCACGTATTAATAATCTCTTTACTCATCCCAAAAAGAATAACGATTTGACCATAAAAGCTATACAGAGATCATTAATGATAAAGAAAAATTTTGGTTCTATTCCTGGAAGTACTTGAGTTTATTAAACTACACAACAGTGCAGCACATACAATTCCCCTAAAAATTATACAGAAGACCACAAAAGGTGACCATTTATCCTTCTGCTTAACTTTAAACTGTATGAGTTGGTTACAAATTGTACTACCCAGTCAGTAAGAGCTTATCACATGGAAAATAATTAAAATCACCATATAGATTTTTGAAGGAAAATATCTGCATTTGAAGACAGAAATAAAAGTCTTAATTTTCAAAAGAAAATGATCAGCTATTTGCAAATTTACAATTCACTAAAGCCAGATTACCGTGATTTTATTACCTAAAATATGTAATAGTGCCATGAAATTTTACTCACCAAACAACAGCTTAGAACATAGCCACATAGTTAAAGGTATTTGACAATAAATAATGGTCAATAACAAAGAGCCATGCACAAAACAATTGGTCAAAACAGGAACAGTCAGAGCTCTGAAGACACAGGGAGACACACAGATGCCAAAGAGAGGCTGTTTCCATGAGCACAACAGGCAGCCACATAGATTACATTGCACTTAGATTTCTGTTTTCAAGTTCAAGATATGATGGGGTGCTGGGTAAAGCAGAAGGTCAACCCCAAGGGTGTCACAAGTGAAAGTCATTGACATATCTCCACAAACATGATTTCCAATACCTGGAAGAGCCACCATCCCACAGCAGCTGAGCACACTAAATACTCCAGTCTAAAGTGTACTTGCCCCTTCCAGCTTCTCTACCATGTTAGCCAGCATCTCCTGCAGGATATGCAACAAGAGGAACTGCTCCAGCTTAAAGCTGTAGATGGACAGGCCCTGGGGGATATTCTGCAAGGAAAGAGGGAGAGATGTAGATATGTTAACAGTTTCAAGAATCCAGGCCCCATCTACCTTGGTGTCCTCCAGCTGCTTCACAGAAAATGTGAAGATGTTTGCTACTTCTGCACTGTCAGCTGACCATCTCCACAAGTCACTGTCATTACTGCTCTTGTTTCATATATTATTAAACTCAGAGTAACAAGTGCTGTCATGCCCAGATTGTGTATCCTGACATACTCTGCATTGGAGCTTTGTCTGTAGTTCCTGAGGTTCCCTATGACAGGGACTATTACTACCATCAGAAAAAAAGAAAGCAGAGAAGTTAGGTCACTTTTCCAAAGTCACACAGTCACAAAATATTCAAGCCAGGATTGAAATTTGGACTATTCCATCTCTCACATATTGGTTTCTAACCCATCAAGCATTCTGTTGATTTAAAAAAGAACATTTAAGGCTGGTCAAGTGAGAGGCACTGACACCTGTGTAATGTCTCTGTGCAGAGAGAGGGACAGCAGAAAGGAGTCTCCAGGGGCCACCACACCTCCTTCAGAGAAATAGAAAGCAGCAGGCAAGGCTGGGTGGAATCTGCATTGGCCATTGCCACCACTGGGGGACCAGGAACAAGAAGGAGGAGCCAAGGTGTAAGAGCAAAGTATGACATGGAAGTTACATGAATAATTTAAAGAGCTGCACACAATTATGAACATTTCTGAAGCCTTTTCTCAGTGAAGTACATCAAGATGAATGAACCTGCCTTCTTGGATCTTTTGGAATGTCCTGTGTGTGTAGAATGCCTGGGTTCTTCTGCAAAAGTCTTGCCTTGCCAGCACAGGATTTGCAAAGGATGATTTCTGGGATCATAGGTTCCCTCAGTTGTTTGTACTGGAGGGCTCTTGTTGGCTCCTGTGATGAACATCCAGATAACATCCTGCTGGTCAGGCTTCTGGATGGCATCAAGCAGAGAGGCCTTGGAAACCTAGCTGGTGGGGGCATTGAGACTAACTGCACAAATGCATTAAGGGTTCAGGGCAGTACTATGGCTAATTGTAGTGCAAAAGATCTAGAGAGCTCCCAGTGTGGATGGCAGCCTCCAGTGCAAGCCTGGAGGCTCCAATGAGGGGTATACCTGTTACCATGTCCTCAAGCATTACATTACTATGAAGGAAAGAACCCTGGAGACTTTAAATTCAGCAAATGTGACATCATCATTTGTTGACAACATGTTGATAAAAACTGGCTCCACAGGGTAAGTCAATGGGATCCATGGCTTTTTCCCCAACCAACTTAGTGCAGATTATTAAACCATTGTTTCAGCCCCCACCTCAGTGCAAAGCATTTTATGACTTTGAAGTGAAAGACAAAAAAGCAGCAGATAATGACTGCCTTCCATCTGTTAAGGATGATGTTCTGACTGTGATCCAGAGAGTGGATGTAAGCTGTGCTGAAGGAATGCTGGAAGACAAAATAGGAATATTTCTGATTTCCTACATTGAGTTTAACTTGACTGCTAAGCAGCTGACATAATGGGATAAGCCTCCCATGCCAGTAGTTGATGCTGAAGACTGTACCTCAGCAGCAGCCCAGAGCAGCTCTGCTCCAAAGCACTCCAACACCAATAACAACACCAAAAAGCATCACTCCTTCACTTCCTTCATCATGGCAAACAAGTCCTCTCATGCATTCATGCATCCCAGAACTGTCAATCCATGGAGATCAGCCCTCCTGTCCTCATCAGCTCCAGCAACCTTCAGCTGCCATAAGGATCAGAGAACTGTCTGTGCTTTCCTTCAGTGCCCTTTCTCAGATTCATGTGAGTACTGCCATGTTCATTTTGATCCCACACCCAAGCAGCCTAGTGACAACTGGCCCCTCGTTCACTTTCTTGTTGGATGTCCCCTCTCCAGGTGCCCATGGAACTATGAATCCTCCCTTTCCAGCACCCCCTCTCCTGGCTGCCACTGTCCTCACCTCCATCCTGCCAGGTGCTATGCTGCTTCTGCTGGAATGGGACCCAGTCTCATGGCAGAATCCACTGCTCACAGGTGAGAAGATTGAATATTATGAAGATGTTAATTCTCCCCTAATTTATCTATAGATTTGATGCCATCTCATTACAAATTCTAGCAGTCAATTTTGTGGAAATGTGTATATTAATTCCGAATGCATATATTAATTAACATATATTAATTCCCAAATTTAAGCAGGTATACATCATCTCAGAACCTGGGATCACAGTATGGTAAAAATAATTAGAAAGTGGTGAATTTTGAGTATTAATTATTCCTGATTTTATACGATCTACTTAATTTTTAATAATGGTTGGGTTTAACAATGATTGGCAAAATTTATAAAAACTAATCTCATAAATAAATAAATTTGGGCTGACTTTAGCAAACCAATGATACCAGGTATCTGGAGAAGTTTAGGTATCTATGATTTTCTTACCAGCCATTCTTAAGTACTGGAAGAATATTAGCCTAATGAAGAGAAAGAAAGGGAAAATAAAATGAAAGAAACTTCAGCCCCTGCCCCAGAATATATAATTTGATTTTCAAGAGTAAGCAGGTGTTTGAAGTTATAAATAGGTCATTTTTTTTCTACTACATGGCTAGCTTTCTTTACAGATTATAGGTAAAGTCTATGTATTTTGATTTGGATAAAACTTCATATAATGTTCTGCAAGCCATTTAAGAAAAAGAGGATCATGAAGTGTTCGTGGTTCCTTTAAAACAATATACATTTTGCCCAAAGACTACTACTCTGGCCCCAAATTGAAAGTCGACCACTGAAGTTGAAAATTGCAGACAAAGTTGATTTATAACTAAGGTAATCTCAAAAGTCTAGAAATTTGTTTACCCATTACATCATAACAAGTCCAGAACCCTTTTATCTATCAGATAAATATTGGTTGATGAATGAAAACTAACAAGCCATTAGTCTTCAGGAGCGCCCTAGAAATGAGACTATGCTGCATTCTTGTAGGAGGTTTCCTTCCACCTATTATTCTCTAATTTAAAGATGACACTAGCAAAAATTCCTTAAATTTTAATTGATGGAAAGCAGCCTGTGTCTTGTGCAGTGTGTAGGTGCCAGTTTCTGAGGTTTCAGATTAATATATGGAAAGAAAAGCCCCCCTGGCTAACACAGGAGCTGAAACAAAGGGCAGTAAGAGTTATTTTGTTTCATGAATATTTTTGGACATGGAATATAATGAAGAATGATGATTTGACTGAAGATGAATTTAGAAGGAGTTGTATATAAATAAGAAAAAGTCTAATGAAAAATGATGAAGATATCACTGCTCTGAACCATTGGAGAAATTAATCCTATTTTAAACTAAAGATAATACTGTAAACAGGCCAGATTTTATGTTAATATGAATCTATAATTTCCTTCTTCCATGCACTTGAGTTCAACATATTTATAGAACACACCTGTTGTGTTGTGTAACCTTCTGCCTGAGTCCTGATTCCTCAGGTTTCCAGATATGACATACCTATAACATCTTGTGTTGTTGAGGTCAACCTGAGGATCCTAAGTCCATGAAAATAAAACTCTTGTTCACATTCTGCAATTAAAAATGAGTTAAAAGGAAGGGATTCATAACATAGGGTAACTACTTTTTGAAAAGTCAAGAGATTCTGCTATGTTATTTCAGTTTTAAACCATCAACTTTATATGTTTAGGGCTTTAATTTATGGAACAATCAGGCAATATTTATATTTAACATTAAATACCTGAATATTATAAATCACCTTAGATGAACATTTATGGGGGATTTTCAGTGAAACTTCTGAACAAATTGTCATTTTATTGTACAGCAATGAGTTGTAAAAAAATGATATGCTAAATAATCCTGGAGTATAATTTAGGGAAACAAAAACAACTGGCTTCGAACTTCTGCCTCAGCCTCCATGTGACAGGACACCAGCCTCAACCACACTATTCTGAACATACAAGATTCCTGTCATCTTTGTCTTCATTCCAGAATCAACAGCAAGTCTTGTGGAGTGAGCTCTTCCTAAATGTCCTGCCTTTCCTTAAACTCCTAGGGTTCCTTTACTGTCCTCCTGTTCATATGGCTGTTTTACTGACAGACTGAGCCCCAGCATACCTGTGGGCTTCTGCACACAATTATAAGATCTGTCACTTGTAGCTGATTCCCTGGGGCCTTCTGAGTACAGTAATGAGCTGTTGATTCTCTGTCCATATCCCTATCCATTCTGTCCCACCAAACACCCAACCATTTGTTGTGTACTGCCCTTTGACACATCCCCATCATGATCCTGAATGTCACTTGGTGCCTCTTTCTGTGTATCAATGACATGCTTGTGTCTTGGCTTCACATCTCCATCTAAAGGTTCTGAGTTGCCCACACCACAGTCAATCACTCTGATGTCATCTGATGAGAGAGCTCACAGAGGGGGAAGAACCAGCAGCTGAGGTCTTCCTCTGGGGTACTGAGACACTTTTGAATCCAGATGTGCTCCTGGCAATCTTTCAGAATAGGGAGAATCTGGCATTTGGCTACAGAATCAGTCAGTCCTGGGGAAGAACAAGTCTTAAGTACACTCACAGTGCTCCGAGTGTTGCTTCTAGGCATAACACTCCTTGGGTCCTCAGCATGATCTGATGGAATAGCACAATTTTGCATCCATGTTTTTTCATATCAAACTTCTAAACACAGAGAACTCACTCAACCAAAATGACACAGATAGAAAATGACAGAAGCAGAATTCCAGTTGAGGGAGTATGCAGGTCCCCATCAAATAATTAGAAGCTGCTAATTATGTTGGCACAAAGCAGGAGGCATCTCTGCATTCCTTTTTTATTTGTCTTCAGACTCCTGCTCAGCTCTGCATAAAGGTGTGTTCTCCTTTAAGGAGTGTTCTTCTAAAACCTAGTAGCACAAGGTTTATTAGCCCCAATTTACCTAGTCTTGAAGAGGGACAAGATGATGAGATGAGAATAACTAAGGGATTTCCAGGGTTTTCAGGGACATTCAGTGTCAGCTTTCACATTGTCCTGTTCCACATCCCTGGAGTGGCCTAGAAGTCTCCAGTCATTGCCATGCACCTCTGAGGAACAGCAGAACCTTGTAGCAGAGATCACCTGGTGACAAGGCTGGCCCCACCAAGCAGGTGCATGTGTCCAGTTAGAACAAAATTGCCCCCTTCTGGACCTACAGTCCAATAGACAAGAAGCCCCTCCTAGGAGCACCAGGGAGATGACGATGACCAGATTAGATTGCCCAGGGCTGCATCCTTGTTCAGCCCTCTTGATTTGTCTCAATCCCTCCTCTATTTAACCCAAAAGCTCATGAGAGCATCCCATGGACAGGCCTGAGACCCTGTAGCTCACTTGTCTTTCCTGACATGGCCATGGTGAGGAAAGCTCCTTCCTTGTTTTCTTCATTACTTTCCAGTTTGGTTTTGGGATGAGTGGCTGGACCTAATTTGCTGGGTCCCCAGGGCCAAATTTCTGACCTCAAATTGCAGCAACATTCCCAGAGTTCTGGCTCTAGCCACCCGACCTACTGTCACATGGAGGGCTACTTATTCAAGTGGCCCTGTTGTTCTCAGCACAGCCTGTTTGGCACCCTCCTGACCTTAACTATGTGGCTGCTGGGAGTTTGCAGTCCATCCCACAAACCTCTTTACTTTGTTCTTGTGGCCATGTTATTCTCTGTTCCTCAGAACAGCCCACCTGACCTGCAAAGACCAACCTCCCCATTTTCCAGGGCCCTACTTCTAATGTATCAGCCTGTGATACCACAAAGCAAGGTCATCTTGTAATGTCTGCATCCTTCAATGATTGCAATAGGAATTTCAGTGCCCTGGGGCAGGAGCGGATGTTGGACAGGAAGACTCTGGTTGTTTCTGTAGTCCTCGGCTTAACGGCTAGCAGGAGAACAGATTGCAAGCAGGTTTGGGGGATATGGCTGCAGAGGTGACTGGTCCCCATGGACTGGTTTTTTGAGTGTTTCTGACTTCCTAGAGATAACACCTCCTGCTGAGCAGGTTGAAGAACTGGGGGCCATCCCAGATCTCACTCCAGAAGCACCCACAGTGTCAGTCCCATGATAACCCAGGTAACTCACCTAGAGGAGATCAGCACTGATGTGTGGACAGCACCCATTTGGTCAGTCTGGACCAATCTGTTTTGTTTTGAAGACATTCCACTGCAGAATCTCAGAGCAGGACAGGAAGTTGGAGAAAAACTGCTTCAACCCACATCTTTACAGTCAAGAAAAAGGCTCAAGCGGTGGCATGGCTTGCCCGGGATGGCACAGGGGCCCCCACATTTGAGAAGATTAGCATTCTCTCTTGGGAGATCCTATGAAGCTAGAGGTTTTTAACACCTCCCAGGTGCCCCCACATTGATATCTCTGGCCTGAAACTCTCCTGAACTCTGACTCATCACTCAACTGCCCAGATAAATCAAAATGCAACCTGTCCAAGTGAAAATCTTCATGCCTTCACTGTAGCCTTAATGCTGGTTGCCCCCACACCAAAGGGTGAATCCTGAAACCAAAAGTATCAGGAAGGGCCTCTTGGAGGGGATTAGGTCATGTGGATATGTCTTTATGAGTGAAATTAGTGTCCTTATCAAAGAGGCCCAGGAACTCATTCACCTGCAGGGATGCATGCAGAAGGCCTCTCCATGAGCCAGAAAGTGCAAGACATGGAAACTGCTGGCATCTTGATCTCAGACTGTCCAGCCTACAGGATGGTGAGAAATGGCTTTATGTCTGTCATGTATAAGCTACTTGGTCTATGGTATTTGGTCCAAGCAGCCTGCACAGATGGAGACAACCTCCCTCTAAACCTGCTGCTCCTGGAGCAAGAACATGGTTTCAGTTCTCAGGACCTAACCTGGGAGTCACCTTTGTCACCTTTCAGCAGTACATCTGGACAATTGACCCCATCTCTGGAATATACCATGCCTGCCCCAAGCTTTCCTCCACTGTCCCCACTGGATCTCAGCTCCATCTCTCCCAGCCTCTTACCTCTTGCCCTTCAGGCCTGTAACAACTCCTGGC